ATTTAAAAAAAAAAAATTTCAAAATGAGATCAAGGTCCCATGTCAAACCCAAAAAGTGTCTGTATTTTTGACATTTTTTAACCTTCAAACGCTTCATAAGGCTGCTACGGGAGCTTCCAAGATTCACCAGTGTCGGTGTCAAGTAATAAATAGTAAATGACAACCAAATTACAGCCAATTGTATATATTATTATAGTAAGTTTTCTGTTTTGTCTGGTGATCTGGAATCTGTCCATTTCTTGGATATTAAATTTTTTATGAAAGAACGGTTCTTTTTTTTTTTTTTTAATATTGGACAAAGGTGATGTGTCCTTATTTGCCCCCAAGTTATTCTTGCTTAACCAATTACTATCCTATTGGATTTTTTTAATTTTTTTTTTTTGAAACTAAATCATATTTTTCATGGAGTTCATAATCATTGGATGTATGCAAATAGATTTTAGTGTGAGAGTGAATTTAAGCAATTTATTAATTGGAGTGGAAAATGGAGAGATGGTGCTCTATATGAGACGTTGTTGGCTTATTGTTTAATCTTGTTCGACTATTACTTTCCTATCATTTTATTTTAGTTAGTTGAGGGCATTAAGGTCCTTTAATTCTTAATGTTTTTCTTTGTTAATCGTTTTGTTGGTATTTAAACATTGTTTTGAGTGAGTTGTCTTTTGGTTAAATTTTGATAAATTACTAAAATCTTGGAGAAATGTTCTTCAACCTCAAGATCGCAAACTTTAATTACTCGTGAATAATTGTTCGAGGTCGTGAGAACTACGCTTCTTTCTACGTCAGGCGAGCATCAAATTATTGATGAAAGAAATTAATAATTTTCGATTTTTTCCAGAGTTGTTAAAGTCGAACAAAATGACAATATAAAGCAAAGATATTTATCAACATATTAATTTAGGTTTTAAGTAGTATGAAGTGTGACAAAATATTAAACAAGAGAGTTTATTAGAATAGAGTGCAAATATTAAATAAATGTCCCAAAAAGATAACTTGAGTTTGTGAGTTGGGACAAACTTGTATAGTTGTAAATAAACTCGACATGTAGAGGGTAAACTTTCACTAAAAAAAATACTATGTTCACACGTTGTACTTTAAACAGCCAATCATGCCTTTAGGATGATTCATCTTATGAAGATTCAACTAAATTTAACACAAGACTTGTGCATTCTTAATGAAAAGGATGTCATTTTTTGGCCTTTTTTATGTGACGGATAAGATTTACATCATTTGGATCAAGCATGACGTAATAATTGAAGGCGATCTCAACTATAACATACTGTAAAAAAAAATATAAAAACAAAATAATTGTACTGTGAATTTTCTATTTGAGTTGTTACTTGACTTACATGAGTTGGCTCGTAAGCTTGACGGCTTGTGTGTGAGCTAGCTTGCTAATGGCTCGTGCGTCGACTTGTTATAAATGAGTGAAAAATAATTTTAATAAATAAATTGATTGAGTCATGAGCAGTTCGCGAGTTCATGGGGCGAGCCAAGCCCAACAGCGACAAGTCGAGCAACTCGATTCAGCTATGCTACAAGGGATTGGATTAGGTCGACGTACGAAGAATAATAACTTCATCCACCTACCAATGACGCGGTCAGATATTGCACCACTTCAAGAAAAAAGTTTAGTTCTCTTTTGTAAGTTTTCTTTGCCCTTTGATTTTCTTACTTTTCTAATCTTTGCAAATTGTCTTCCTAGAATTTGTTTCCTTTTTTACGCGTCTTTAATTATAGAAAAACGTGGAATTTATATGTACCAAAATTTAGTTCCATTCTGCTTAGGGGTTTATACCTTCAAGCAAGAGTAATCCCCAAGTAAATAAAGAGTTATATTAGGAAACTTTTATTGTACCAAAAAAAAAAAAATTACAATAGAAAATATTGCCAAGTACGTTTCACAACAAATAAGTAAATTATTGGGTTAAGTGAATCGCGTTATAGTCGGTCACTCATTTTCAATTTGATATAATTTGTTCGGACTCCATTTTTTTAGAAAAATCATTTTCCAATTAGATATTCTTCTATAATAGGCTTTTTGGGGATACAAGAACTCGAACCCTCACGATTTTAAAAGTCGACAGACTCCATTGAGTTCGTCGTCGTAGAACTCAACAAGTAAAGGTTACACCTAGAGGTTCTTTGTTACGGGTCTATCCCACTCCACTAGTACTTTCTGTTTTTTCAAGCTGCAATGACTAGAAGTGCTACGGATAATAATGATTCGCATAAAATATTTTTACACGTAAATTCAAATTTTTTCCTTATTTATTAACTACTATTTCTCCAAAATATCACTATTCCAGAATACATTTTTCCTCAAAAATAGGGGCTCAAACGGGCTATTCATCTTCCGTTTTCTAGCAAATGTAGTCACTTTATCAACTACCTAATCAATTTAACTAGCACAATATACTAACATGGACGTTAAAAAATGGACGACATGCAAAAGCGTGCTTTCAGATCATAAGTCTTTTTTCTAGATCATTTAAAATGTGTGGTGTATAATGTTATCTGACATGGATGTAATGACTAGATTTGCAAGTAAATTGAATTCATGTGATCTGGTTGCAACAAATCGAATGAAACATTGATGAAAGTTGGATGACTCGCAGTGCCTACAACCCAAGTCGCAAATATTTTTCGCATTCCCCTTGAAATACTCGTAAATATCACTCATTTTCTACCCACAAGGACAAATTTGAACGTATATTTACAATAGATAGATTTTCAACATGACTCGAATTATTTCCTCTTTTTTTGTTTTTGGTTGTGTGGTGGGGGTTCCCAACTACACAATAGACAGTACATAAATTCATGACACAAGATAAAGAAGACGAAAAATCAAAAGTTGTTTGTCACAAGAATCCTACGAGGATGCAATTATGTGATGAATTGAATCTGATTTTTGGTTCCTACAATGTTTGACCACTTTTGCTGGGTTAACGCCACGATTGAATCCAGTGTGCATCGCACGATCAACGGACAACGTGCAACTAAACTTTACACATATATCTATTATTTTTTAATTTAACTAACTATAGACAGGGAATTTGAAAAATAAAGAAAATGAATATATAATCATCATATCTCAAAATCCTTAATTACTTTCACGTAAGTTTTGAACCACTTGATATTAAAATGGACAGCACATGCTTTGTACATTAGTGTAAGTCCAATTAATTAATTAAATTAACGTAGTTGACTATCTAAAAATATTTTTTTTTCCTTCTTAAAAGTCAATAATTGGAGAATCTTTTGCACCAACTAGCACCCGCTGTAAAGAAAGAAAATTTAATATTGATTTTCACACTAAACCTATTTTAATTTTCATAATATTTTTGTTTTATGCATCTCGAGAGAGCGGGGTGATTGCGGTGAACCGATGCATGAGCTAAGGCTCCCATGCCCCCACCTACCCTCCAAAACATCAGGTCCTGCATTGGATTTAACGTTTTAGATATCGACTGATCAAGAAAGTATGAATGATGTCCAAATATAAAAATCGAGCATATCAATTTCAAAAATGCTATAAATTTCATTTGAACTTTAAAGTACATTATATTTCAATAGGAATGTCATATCGTGAAAATAACATGAGATGAAAAATCTTTACTTCAAAAGGAAAGTCATGATTCATTATAATCATCTACGCATTCGCTTCTCAATCACTATGTTCTCACACTTTTTAATAGTGACCTAAGAAGAAAGAACCCTAACTGTATTAAAGAATTAGTATACATAGAACAGTTATTTTCACATAAAATTTAACCATAAAACAGATGGGGTTTTGGAGTTATGAGGATAAATGGTGATGCTCCCTAGCCACCTTGCAATGTATTTTCAGCCTTATCTATCAGAGCCCACTGCCAAAGGATAGTTTATATGCCCTCTCTTATGGACAATTCTTAGCATGTGGTCTGTGTGTCCCATTTGGATGCCTCATGTGATAAGCGAACTGTACAAAATAATTTAAAGGATTATTTTCATTTAAGTTATACAATATATACATGGAAACTACATAGCATTAACACCCATGTTCCTGTTGATTATGAGAAGTTGCTTTTCTAAAACATCTGCATCTGCTCCACATGCAAGTGGTTTCCTAGTTTATTCTATTGATTAGTTGGTACAATCTAGCTAATCCCAGCTCTTAGAAGTTAGGTATAGTAAATTGGATCCTTCTCAAATGAGTAGTAGCAATACCCATATTCGGCAGAGCCTACACTCGAGAGTTAGACGGTCAACTATATGCAGGTGTCAACATGCCCAAGAATGGTATTGAATTCGTCTAAACTGACTATAAGGATCGAATCAACCACTTTGTTATGCAAATCTTTTTCAAACTTGATGTGTTTATTAATGCTGCGTAATGGGTTTCGACCCCCACCTTACTAGAACTACAATTAATGATGGGACAGTCCAAAATCTTATTGGAAGTTATCAGCAACTTGTGGCTTCTAGCTGAGGAGCCCACCCCAGAGTAATTAACCCTCAAGAGAAACCAGCATACTCAGGCTATTTAAGCCAAACACAAATGGCATAATCTACCTTAAGTTTTCTTTAGGATATAAGATAACGCTTCTAAGGTAGGGCCCATTCAAATCTTTGCTCGAAGATGTCCTACAACTTTAAAACCATTTTTTCCAGCAGAAATAGTAAGCAAAGTCCTGTTAATAAGAAAGACAAAGAACCATAATTGCAAAGATAACATCCCCAACATTGACAAAATGCAAAATTTCACATCATACTGAGTATGTAAAACAGACAAGCCATGCATGTAGAGTAAAACTTAACCACAAAGATGTGAAAACACGAGAATTATGATTCATGAAGATGGCTTCATCAGAAGACAATTTGCCCCACATGGCATATTAACCGTTTCATAAGTCGGACAAGTTATTAATGATGGATAAGAAACACCGAGTCCAAACAGAACAAGAATGTGGCTCTGCCTATTTAAATAGTAAGATTCAATACCATGTCCAGTAGTTGAGATGTCCAAATCCTTAGCAGCACTAAAAGACATCTCGTTCTGTAAGTTTGAACTATACATAACCATGGTTGCAAACTTATCGTTGTATGATTGCTAAAACTATATGGACCTTCAGTTCTCAGCACAAATTTCTAGAGTCAGTTCTGAATATAATTTCAATTAAAGATTTTCTTACTTTCATAAATAACCTGACTATTAGGGACTCGTACAAATTGACTTGAAAATCCCTATTTCTAAACTTAACACCTTCATAGCTTCACTAGCACTAAGCCTCTAAAGGTTCATTTTGGGGAAGGAAAAGGTGAGACAAAAAGAAAAACAATATTTCAAACTCAAATGAATTTGATAACCCTGATTCTAATCTGAACGGACTGAAATGATATGACTAAATAAGCTTCAATTCACTTGCAAAAATAACAAAGAAGTTGGTTTAGCTTAGATCTGCTTTTACCGTGAAGATGGGAATGACAGGCATCCTACAAGATTGGGTTGGATTTTTTTATTCTTTATTAATAAACCTTCATTTTCATCTTTCATTCTTTCCTCTCTCTTTATTTTCACCCCGTTTTTTTCCCGGGATAAGGGGGCTAAGACATGGCCAAATTGGCTTATACTGGAGCCAGAACTCAGAAACAAACTTTCCATACACTTGAAAACAAATTGCAGAGTATACAAGAGGCAGCATGGTGGGGAATCTATGCTGTTAGGCCATAGACAAGAGGGGAGGTTGTGATGAAGCGGAGAAACTGAGAGAAAAGATAAGCACGTGACCAATGAATTCATTGATTCCAAAAAATGCAGAATCGGATAAAAAAGGATAAATTTGGATTGATGAAAAGAATATTTTTTAGTCAATGTTCAATGAGAAACAAACTAACTTAGCATCACTTTTCAACGTGACTGTCTGGCTAAAGATTCGACTTTTTCTCCAACCATTTTCGATAAATTAGCAGAAATCAACCCACACGGTTTTGAGGGAATAAAGAAACAACTCATGACAAAATAAATATGAAGCAGAGTAATAAAAGAGAAGGAACAAATCAGCCAAAAGTCAGCATTTGATTAATTCCAGCCATGTTTACATTTGGGTGTTCCCACTTGGCTAAAAAGTAAAGTGCCTCTTCACTTGCATCAGGTTTCCATATCTGTGTGATACACTTCATTAGTATGCATATACGTGAGCAGCAATTAAAATGATAAGCAGAAATCCGTGAGAATTTAACAACACTTTGAAGTTCAAAGCCAACGCATTAAAAATGATTCAACTCTTGAGCATTGACCTGATCTACAAGAACATCAGTTGTGTGACAAATTTGTGTAAAAAAATAAGTGCATTTTGACAAAGCTTAAATCACAATTTAAACTGATCAAACATACTTTCTATTCCATAAGACCCACAGTTTATATCACTTAAAACCTCTAACAAACATGCTCTAAGCCACAGGAGGTACAAACTATTCATCTTTTTCTACGTTCGCATTCCCATGTCTACTTCGATGTCATAGTTAATTTGTACTTCCATGGCGCCGAAGAATCTTATTACGAAAGTTTTATTTTGAGATTAAAGAAACACATTACATGTTCTATACAAGAATGTCAGTTGCGTGTCAAAAAAATAAGGCACGTGAGGTACAAACTATTCATCGTTTCCTAAATTCATGTTCCTGCGTTTACTTTGACATCATAGTTAATTTGTACCTTCATGGTCCCAGAGAAATTACTATGAGTGTTATTTTGAGATTAAAGATGCGAGGTATATGTTCTATACAAGAACATCAGTTGTGTGTCATATTTGTGCCAACAAATAAGGCAAAGAGTCTACTCCTATGTTCCTGTTCCTACGTCTACTTTGACATCATAGTTAATTCGTACCTTCATACCTCTGAGAATCTTTGTTTTAAATTATAGTATTGATTCATTGTATAAGAATCAACATTTTAAATTTTTTTCGAACAGGGTAGAGCAGAATGAAGCAAACTTAACTCGTGGTATTAACCCAGACATCAACTTTTTCCAAATATTTTGAACTCTGAGATCATCATTCATCAATATCAAAAACAGTACTCATATTGCAGTGAAAAGAGAAAACTTTACAAAAAAAGTAGCATCTATAACTCAATTATCCAGGCCAAAAACCCAATTTGGCATCCAATTCCCAGCATAAAAATCGAAAACGCAAAACAAAGAAGTAAATTAAAACTTAGAAAAATCTTCGAACACATAGTATGCAATATATTATAGACATGCTTCGTTTATATAGACAAAGCTAAAACATTCAAAAATCGATCTTTTCAGTACAAGAGGCCATGGGGAACCCGATATACTTCAATTTCACATTCAGAGTGGCATTAATAGCCCTTCACTTGCGCCTCAAGGAGTCCGTTAATCGGAGACGGACTAGTTTTCCGTATATTGGGTACTTCTTCAGCAAGTAGTTATTCATCCGCTGAATGGTTTTCAAGACCCAGAACGAAAGCCACCCGGATTGCGGAGCTCCAGATATCTATACAGCAGCTACAGAAGCCCAATTTTAGCCCATTGCAAACCCCATTTTCAGGCCAACCTGGCGGCCCTCATCTTTTTCCGAGACTAAACCGTTGCATAGCCCAACTGAATACACTGGTCGTATTGGGCCTATCCATGAGTAGGAGACAATTCAAAACACCTTTATTTATTTTTACATTTATAACAGAATGTGTTACATTTTATAAAATTACGATACACACATTTTACCATCCTGATTCCGCTGCCACCACTTTCATTTCTAACCCAGTTTGTTTGACCCATTTTATTATTTGGGGCCAACTGTATTGTCTTCGAGCTAGATAATCAAGCTCAATGTGTCTCCATTCATTATAGGCAATCAACTCGTGAACTTGCACAAATAAAAAATGATTGATTTTAGTTTAATTTTTTAATGAGGCGGGTCATCCTTAGCCTAGGTGTTAGCCCAATTTGACACCAATAGTCATAATCGGGCAATATGTGAAATTATTAGACTGTGTCATTGAATTCATTGAGGAATGGTTGGAAATGAAAAAAGTCTGTGAGGCACTGCAGCTAATTAGACGTCTAAAGATTAACAAAATCGAGAAGAATGTGATGTTTTTCTACCTAAGAACTCTCATAACTTCCAACCAACCCAACTAAGTAATAAAGGAGATCATGAACTAATAATGTGAACCTTCTTCTAATACTTCTGTGAAATAGGGGCTGACTTGACATTGACCCGTTGATAATCAGCACAGTATATCGACTATATCATTATCCTTCTAAGAGAAGTGCGTTCATATATTTTTTCGGAATTAACCTATTTGTACAATTGTTGTTGATAATTGTGGTTGACAACATTGATGTTTTCAAAATCTGAACTACTGATTTTAAAATAGTTTTTGAAATGGATGAATGTGATATTGTCAAGTGTGAATTGTCAATCAATATTGTAAAAAAAGATTGTACCAAGTAGCATGGATGTATTTTTCGAAGCGATACCTTGTAAGCATAAAAGACTTGCTTGATTGCGTAATGTAGATGTGATTTTTGGTCGATTTTAATATAAAATAAAAAACTACTGGTTAAATATGACTATATATTTAATTAAATTAGGCAAAAATAAATAAATCTGACTATTAGTGATAGGAAAAAATTATAATTGTTAAAGATAAATTATCCGAAAAGTTGTATCTTGTATGGAAAAGACTCGAGTAAGCTATGTATTATCATAATTCCTCAACACTTTGATTCGAATATTATTGTACCTTGCCATTTGTGCCCATAAAGAAAATCAAAATTAAAATTTGCAGACCAGATGATATGTATGAAGAGTAACATTTTAACATGACTGGACAATACCAAATCAAAAAAATATATAAAAAATTTATTTCATTCGATTTAGTCCTTCATCGAACCTATGATTTTTGGGTCTCGGTTCACTCTTTGTGCAAATGCTCTTTGTGGGTTTCCTTCATTCTTGTGGTGGAACTAGAGCTAGGTTGTGTGTCGGGTGATACAGTCGAACTGGACTAAAAATTTCCTCATTTTAAACGGATTGAAACCCTATGATGAAGGCAATTTTTTGCTTGCAAGTATCATATTCTCTACTGGAAAGAATATAAATATCAGCTCTCCTTTTGAAATCCTAAGAAGTAGTGCTTCCTTTAGTAAAGGTAAGGTTATCCCTAGGGCTCCTCGAGCTCCTAGCTCCTTCTCCTCCTGGATTTCGATCCATAGAGGTTCTTTCTCCTCCTGGATCTCGATCCATAGAGGTGCCGGTATGTCTAGAACTCCCTTAAAGTTGGTGTGTTGGAACTGTCGAGGGATTGGAAACCCTCAGACAGTCCGCGAGCTCTTCCATTGGGTGAAGACGAAGCTCCCACAAGTGGTTTTCCTCTCAGAAACCAAAATTCACAGCAGCAAATTGGAGAGGATTAGGGTGATGTTGAGGTTCGAAAATTGTTTTGGTGTGGACAGCGTTGGGCGGAGTGGAGGTCTGGCGATTTTCTGGAAGGAGGAGGTGAAAGCTTCATTATTTAACTTCTCGCAGAGTCACATTTCACTGCAAATTATGGATGGTACCACCCAACTTCCATGGGTACTTACGGGATTCTACGGCAACCCAGTTGCGGAGAGGAGGCAGGACAGTTGGCAAATGTTGAGAAGACTCACCCCTGAAAGCCCATCCCCGTGGCTAATAATGGGGGATTTCAACGAGATACTTAGCCAAGATGAAAAGGTTGGGGGTGGACACAGACTTTTCTCCCATATGGAAAACTTTAGCAAGACACTTGATGACTGTGAATTGTCTGACTTGGGTTATGTTGGCTCTAAGTTCACATGGAGTAATAAAAGGGAGGGGACGGATTTCACCAAGGAACGGCTGGACAGAGCTTGCGCTAATGGCACCTTTCCGGCCTTATACGGTTCTTGTGTAGTGCAGGTGCTCCAAGTTTGTAATTCAGATCACAACCCTTTATCCATCAACTGTAACCAAGGCCATTTTCAGTTGATCCCCAATGCCCGCTTGTTGTTCCGGTACGAAGCTGCTTGGGCAGAGAAACAGGAATGTAAGGACATAATTGCCAGCTCCTGGTCTCACCTTAGGGGCCATAACAGTTCACTGGGGTGGTTTAAAGAGGGTCTTATGAGATGTAGGGACAGGCTCCAATTTTGGGCTCGGTCTAATGCCAGAGAAGCTAAGACGACTCTTAAGGTTAACATGCAGAAACTTAGGTCATTGCAGCAGGTTAACAAAGGGGACTTGAATGAGAGGATCAGAGTCATTCAAAATCAAGTTGATGGTTTGCTAGCAGAAGATGAAATTAAATGGAGGCAAAGATCGAAACAATTGTGGTTGAAGTGTGGGGACAAGAACACTTCCTTCTTCCATAAATGTGCTTCCAAGAGGAAGGAACAAAATTTTATCAGAAGTATATTGAATGCCAGGGGAGATAGGTCAACTTCACAGAATGAGATTGCTGCCACGTTCCAACTGTTCTACCAACAGTTATTTACATCATCTTCCCCGATCGGCATTGATGATGTGATTCAGGATCTTGATATTAAGATCTCCTCGGTCATGAACGATCATTTTCAGGGTGCATGCACAGATGAGGAAGTTAAACAAGCACTTTTTGATATGGAACCGATGAGCTCTCCTGGTCCCGATGGGTATTCGGCTGGATTTTTCCGGGACAACTGGGACGCAATTGGGGAAGGATTCTGCGAAGCAGTTAAAGAACTTTTTGAAACGCAGGTAGGTTTTCATGAGATTAATGAAACCTATATAGTTTTGATTCCCAAGAAGAAGAATCCTTTATCGGTATCCGACTTCAGACCTATTAGTTTGTGCAACGTTTTTTATAAGGTGGTTTCGAAGGTTTTGGCCAATAGACTTAAACCCTTTTTTGCGGATATTATCTCTCCTGCTCAGAGCGCTTTTGTCCCAGGGAGGTTAATCTCCGATAACATTATAGTGGCTTTCGAAGCTATGCACTCCATGAAGTATCGTGTTAGAGGGAAAAGAGAAGGCTACATGGCTCTCAAACTGGATATGAGTAAGGCTTACGATCGCATTGAGTGGAACTTTCTTGAAGCGGTCTTAAGGAAGCTTGGCTTCGGCGCTAGATGGGTTGAGCTGATTATGAACTGCGTGAGGACTGTGAAATATTCACTTATCCTCAACGGTGAACCGCAACCTCAGATCCAACCCTCGAGGGGGCTCAGGCAAGGGGATCCCTTGTCTCCTTACCTCTTTATTATCTGCTCAGAAGTTCTTAGCACATTACTGGATAATGCCGAGGCAAAAGGGTTGATCTCAGGCTTTCCTTTTGCAAGAGGTAACTTGCTGGTTAATCATTTATTTTTCGCTGATGATTGTTTGATATTTTGTAAGGCCAATGTCTTGGAATGGTGGAGGTTGTCCTTTCTACTGAACTCATTCGAACTGGCGTCGGGGCAAAGGTTGAATATGGAAAAGACTTCCATTTATTTCAGTGGCAATACTCGGCAGGAAATAAAGTCAGCCGTTCTTCATGCCGCTAAGGTCAGAGAAGCTTTATCTTTTGAAAAGTATCTGGGGTTGCCGGCCTATATTGGTAGGAATAAAATGTCTGCGTTCAAGCCGGTTCTTGACTCTATTCGAAGTAGGATGAAAGATTGGACGGTGAGATTTATCTCTCTTGTAGGAAAAGAAGTTCTTCTTAAAGCTATTATCCAAGCTATTCCTACATATTGTATGAGCCTGTTCAAACTTCCTCGGCTTATCCTCCAGGCGTTAAATCGGCAAGTAAAGAATTTTTGGTGGGGAAGCAGGGGAGAGAAAACAAAGACGCAATGGCTCCCATGGAACTTGTTGGGATCTTCCAAAATGGTGGGAGAGCTTGGTTTCAGAGACTTCGAACATTTTAATGCAGCATTATTGGCAAAGCAGGGATGGAGATTAATCCAAAATTCGGGCTCACTTGCAGAGAAGGTACTTAAGGCGAAATATTACAGTAGAACAGATTTCCTAAATAGTAAGGTAGGTAGCAATGCCTCCTACATTTGGAAGAGTTTCTCTAGTATTAAATCAGTATTGCGTGGGGGATCATTTTGGCGTATTGGGAACGGGGCATCGGTGGTCATTGGAAAGGATAAATGGATACCTCAAGCATCCAATTCACTCTTTCAATCTCTCCTTCATGATCGGATAACCAACAGAAGAGTGAGAGACCTCATTAATGCAGATTCGAAATCCTGGGACATGCACCTGATATCTCAAATATTCAATATAGCGGATGCTACTTCCATTAGCAAGATTCCTATAAGTCCGAGTGGTTGTCCGGATATATGCATTTGGGAGGGAACAAAGGATGGGAAATTTACAGTTAAGAGTGCTTACCATTGTATCAATCAGCTGAAGCTCGATTCTTTGGGTCAATGCTCATATAGTGATCCCCAAAAA